GCACATAATGTATCTTCTAACACACTGAATCCGAATAAGCATAAATGCATAATATCTAAATTTCCTGCTAATGTAAGATCACATATGTTGAATTATTAGCCCGAATTCCTCCCAAAACATAAGCACCTACAAGCACGTAAACAGGACTGAAGCTGTTTATTGCTGTTTTTGTAACAGATGTAAAAATGTCTCCATCAGGAGGAGAACATACACTGATTTACACTGATACTGAAATTCTGAATCCTCACTGTCTGACTTCTACTCACCAGTAACTGAACAGGCATCTCTCTTTAAAACCTGTGGAGGGCAGCAGCAGGCTTGAGATGCATCTAGGCTGCTTGTAGTGTTAAAAGAAGAATAAGAGCAGGAAGACGAACAGCAACACATCAGCCCATTTATGTGAACCAAAGCTGAAAACCTAATAGCACACTCTCAAGTTCAGCCCCTACTGAGCAGTCCTTTTAAAGTCATATTCACCATTTTTAGGTTTTAGAGCTGAAGCAGAGCCATCATAAGCTGACTCAACAGTACAGACTGAAGAACTAAAGCATTTGTAGTTTAACTGTGATGGAACTGGATGTGGTTACTTTAAAGTATCATGCATAATACTGAACTTACTACTGATACGTTTGTTGGGGATAAAAGTTGTGCGTACAACTCCCAACCCAGTACTGCCCATAAACCCTTTGTCCTACTATACCTCTAAATAGTTTCTTATTAATATTATCTAATAGTTTTCTCATACTGTCTTATGTGGTCAATTACATCAAGTTTAAATTATGACTGATGCTGTATATTGTAAGTACTCTAAAAGGGCATGTTTGTACAGAGGCTGATGAGAAAGACTTGTTTTGTTTAATCTTTTTTTATATTTTGTATCATTATGTCAAAGTATTTAATTTTAAAGGCTGCCAAATTTCAAATGTGTCAACATTAGGCTAAACTCTAAAGCTAAAGCTTTTTAAGTTTATACCAATAGCTACTGGGCAAATAATAATAATAATAGAAATTAGAGACAGTTTTACAGTTTAAAGCATAAACATACGAAGAAGACCCAATCTTTCCTTGCAGTGTTATCAGCTGAGCATTTTAATTTGTCACTACAAAAAAAGCACAGCTGTAGCTCATAACACTAATGTTTCCATTCTATCTGAGTGTCCCAATAAGACATATATGCAAATACATTCGAGACTGTACTGATCAGTCCATGTTTAAATCACAAATCACTAACTTTTCAAAACTGCTTTTAATGTGTGATTAATTGTTGTGTGTTGTATATTTTTTTAAACTATAGTATGTATTTTAACATTATGTGAAGTGTTTTTGAGTACCATAAAAGTGCTCTATAAATAAAACGTATTATTTTTTTCTGCAGGTATTTTGAGATGTTACAGTAGGAAAAGCACAGGTGTGAATAATTCCATTTAGCTGCTCTAGTTTCACAATCACAATTCACAATTCACAATGGTATTCTGCTTGCTTGGCTCACTTCCACACTGTCATGGCTTACTGGGACACTTGAATAGAACAAAGCCATCGTCTGTTGAGCCCTCTGTAGTAGAAGGAGGTATGATCTATAGCCCAACAGGTTGGATTTATCAATACTGATACCAGTATTTGCAAGTTTAAAAAAATCTTCCAAACATAAATGCATAACATAAATAACAATCTCAATATAGATCCCTTACAATTGTTTTTACAAATAAGACCAAGAAATCTTTTTTTATTTTCTCCTGGTGGACAAACTGTGTAATTGTGACACTTCCAAATTACCTCAAACATGGTTTGGCCTTTCTGTAATACAAATTCTTGTTACTTATCAGCCAACATCCACCTATACCGATATATCTGCAATTAGCTCATTTTAGCAGGTATGTTGGCCTTGGCAAATGCATCAATCTAGTTCTAGTATGATCACAATATCCCAGTTAAAATCCCAGATTGTGTTCCCAGATTATTTATATTCTAAAAAACTGAAAAGGGAAGACAGTAGCATACACCTTTTCCTAGCAGTGCAGTTACAGTAAAATAGACCTGATATTGATCATTAATAGTCTAATGTTTATCTATGAAGGTAATAAAGTGATGAAAGAAATAGCATGAACTGTACTGTTGTTGTCAGTGGCCACAGCATTTTTGTTTTTTAAGCGGGACAAATGGTTTGCTCACATTGGTTGTGAGCCAAGTTGTGTAATAATTACATGCTGAAAAGTCAGGAACTAAATACTGAAGGTGTTTTGAAGGGCTTGATGAATCCCATCTGTTTGTGTTTCACTTTCAAGGGAGTCAGTATCTTTTATTAATGATAAGAGTTTTTTTCCATTAGATTTTCAGGAAGAACATTTGCACTGAAACCAGCAAACATACTGTATTTCTGAAGAAGTTTCCCTCTCTAGTGAACATTCCAAAGCCTTTTACCAGAAAAGAATGGAGAGCTTTGTTCTTGTTTAATATAGGTATGAGAATCTGACCATGCATTCAGTGTCTATGGTTCATGGCTGTCAGTTTGGGTTATAGGTGAATAGAAGTGGCTGTCAGCAGAACAATCCTGGTAAAAGACGTGCCTTTTATGAATTAAATAACCCAGAGGAAGCAGCTAAAGTCAGGACAGAATGAGGCCCAATATGGAGCCCTGAGGTATTCCACTCTTCCCTTGTACCAACTGAGAGTACAAACATGGGTTCTAATTGAATTTGTAAAAGCAAATCAAGGACATTCAGCAAATTGGATATGTGATCCAAAATATCCCAATTCATCTTTATTGGTCAAGAATGCATTAACTACCGTTAGATATCAATTATTTCATAAGAGACGAAGTGTAAATGAAAAAGGTGGGTATTTCTGTGCTTTATAAATAATGTATTCCTTAGACTTCTTAGAACTTTTGCATTGTGTTTATTATCCGTTGTTAACTCTGTACATAATCAGATTACTACTATTTTTTTTTTATTGACATTGCAAAGACTTGGTGATAATCGCAGACTAGCTTGGCCATTATGACTAAAGGATCAATATATCAATATATAACAAGCCTACTGTTTTTAGACATTTTAATGTGGAAATGTTACATATTATAGCTTTAAAATCATTTACTTTTGAGATTTTGAAATCTCAAGATAACTAAGTATTAATTTATTGACAAGTAGACCTCTGTGACTAATATCTATTTTAATTAATTTTATTTACATTTTTAAGTTTCATTATTGCCCTCGGAGGGGTAAAAAAACCTGAAAATATTTTTGTCTGGTTTATTTTCACAAGCTCCGAATCAACAAATGTATTGAATATAAAGATAATAATAAAAACACATATTCAACAGTTCTTTTCAATCTTCCATCGTTGAAACAACATCTTTCTCGCTGTGTTATGCAAGATTAATTAAAAAATGCAAATATATGGGACCTGACCGTTATGTAAGCATCTGAGTGTCCAATTGGGCAAGGTATCTCCTTTTATGTGGGGTCTATAACCTCATTAATCCTCACATGATATAAGCACACTTGGGCCCTGGAAGTGGATGCATAATGTATATTATTGCTTTAATAGGATCTTCCTGTCAGGACTGCCATGGTTGCTGCGGCAGAAATATGAACTTCTAGCTGGTAAGTGATCTAGTCTTTTGGTTTCCTTTATACTGTTACATTATTGTGCAGTTGTATTTGAGAGGGTGTTAAAATAGAAAATTATATATGCATTTCACCCTCGCTAAAGAAAAAGGCATCATATTCATAGCCATTTTCATCTATATTTCATATATTGGTAAAAGAAAACTGTCCATATCAGACTGTATGTTTTTTACCTCAGTATAACTGTTAGTGAACATGTCTTTGCTGAAAGGTATGTACTGATGGAGAGTTTGTGTGTGTGTGTGAGTGAGGGAGTGTGAGAAAGACAGAGAGACAGACGGAGACAGAGAGAGTAGGGCAGGAGGGACCGTATTAGCCGGGACACTTGAATGAATTTGAAGAATAGGTTTTTACATGCAGAACAGCCACAATACTGGGCCCTGACTGGCAGACGGTACCAGCTTCTCCCATTCAAATGATGCAAACCTGCCTGATTGGAGGATTTAAAAAAAGAGTTTTAGAATAGTGTCCAAACAGAGTCCAGTTGTTTAACTTTTACTGCCACTGATCTGAAATCTGAAAAAAACATGGCTAAATGCTAGAAATCTCTTTGACTTCAATTCTTGATTTGTCTGACAGTAATTTCTTAAATGGACCCCATTCAAATTCGTAGGCATTTCTTCTGTCCATTTATAGCAGTGTTTAAATTATCTAGAAAGAATTAAAAATCACAAAATATAGATTTAAATAACATTCCTCAACAAGGCAACACTGTGAATGTAATAAATGAGTATAATTGGACAGGCTTCTATAATGTGACAAGTACTTCAAACCGCCTCTGGGTCTCTAGTATTATGACAACTTCTTCAAATTAAGTCAATTAAATGTGATTTAGCAAACCACACAAAAATGAAAAAACGCATAAGAAAAACAGGAAACAAATGTAAAAAGTGAAGAATAAGGCTCAGTAATGTAATCTTCTTTCCACATATAAAACAGCTTAATGCAATTACTCTTGCGGAGGGAAGGCAGCTATTGTGTGCATGTAACACCAGTCACTTTTACATTGGTTGTGACTTACTACAGTGGTGTAAATGTCTGACAGTATTATCTCTGTCAAGTGGCTGTCCGGGTACGGTTATGTGATCTCGTGAGGCGAAGCTGGCCCCACAAATTTAAGCATACACAGACACAACTAAAGCTCCCAGCCCCTCCCGCACACACACCCACACACACACACACACACACACTGTGTCTGACCTGGGGGTCAAGGTGCACTGACTCTGAGGGTTGTCTAACTGGGCCTCTTAAAAGTCTTGCCTTGCATTCCAGCGCCTGGAGGAGGGGGTTGTTGCAGCCAGGCTTATTACCAGAGAGAGAGAGAAAGAGTGATAGAGAGTGAGAGAAAAGAGAGAGAGAGGGAGGGAGGGAGAAGTGGGGGTAGAAAGAAGCTGGAAGGTATTATGCACTATTTCCTTGGCTTCCTAGAAGCTCCCGCTTATTCCCTCCCACTCGGCCGGCAGAGTTCTACGACACAGTAAAGGAAACGCTGAAAACTTGAACCTGCTACTCTCCAGCTGCCTCGGCCTTCTAACTAGCTCACTTGTTTTCTTTCACTGCTGCTCCCTCTGAATGTTTCTCTCTCTCTTTCTCTGGGCTGTGTGTAAGAGGATCTTACTTTGTGTCCGTTGCCTTTTTCCGCGGTGCTGCAGACACACATGAAGGAGAGGATTGGATTTGAGGAGATACTGACGGGGGTGCACAGCTGCAACAGTCCCCTCCATCTCCACACCAGGACTAATGCCCCCCCCCCCCCCCCCCCTCTGTCTCTCTCTCCCTGTGTGTTTGACTCTCCCTCTGTCGCACTCTCTCTGCTTTCTGCCTCTCGGAGGGGTGGGGGGTGCCATATGGGAGCTCAGAAAAATGGAAGTGGATCGGAGATAGACAAGAGAGGAATCTGTCATTCTCGGGCTCGGATGTCGGGGATCTATGTGGTAAGTGCTTCTCTCTTTCTCTCTCTAAGCACTTTTAATAAGTTCTGTAGCCCCCCAAGAATCTCCTTATTCCTGAATTTTCAGCATGTTTGATTCCTCATTGCTTTTGATTCATATGTTGCCAACAGTTACCTGTTTTTGAGTTTTTATTGTTGGACTCTCAGTTCTGTCTTTGAGCTAAAAACTGAGCCTGATTTTTCTTCCACTTCACTTCAATGTGTCCAAGTTCATGTTTCATTGTTACAAGTAATTTGTGAGCCTTAGTGATAAGAGGGGCTTTGTGCTCGTACCAAGTTTTGAGGGTCAAGGTAGAGCGAGAAGGGAGGTGGAGTGGAGGCTGACTGGGGGAAGGGAATTTGGAGGGGTCAAAGAGAATGGCACTTGGCCCAGGCAACACAATGGCTCTGAAAACTTTTTTGTATGACATTGTCACTGCGAAACATGCGCCTGCCTCAAAATCTGAAAACTGCTACGTGTTTCAGCTGGCAGGTTTGTTGTCGAGGCCGTTTATTTAGCTGATGAAATTGATCAGTTGCTCACTTTTTCATGAGCTTGGGATTTTTAAGTCTTGGTTGAGTACAGTTTTGAGACAATGGGGATCAAAGTTTTGACACACTCACCATCTGACAAAACTGTTAGGCATTTTTTATGTGCCATTATATATTCTAAACTAATTTATTTTACAGAAATGATTAATAAATCAGACAGAAACTTAAGATTTCAAGTTCACAGTGTCTATTGTAGCAATGTTACAGATTACATCGGCCCAGGATACAATGTTCCATGAATCCAGGTTTTGTGGATAGTGCTGCTGAAAGAGTTCTTGTTGCAGATTATCAGCAGTTGGTTCACCTCCGTAGAATTTTAAAACAGGCCATTGTAGATGTTGCTCCCAGTGCAAACTAATGCATTACTGCAGGCTGACTGAATAACTCCATTATGTGATAAATGGAAGTGATACCTCTGGAGCACTGGATAGCATATAGCTTTTAAAACTGCACTTTGACATTTGTTTCTATTTGATTTACTGTGTGGTGTGCTACCGTATTTCAGACAGATTTTACTTTTGTTTGTAATGAGAATTTTTTGCAAGTAACAACCCCCATGATTTCTTTTCATCACATAATTATTATTAATATAGAATTAATGATGCTACCTAAGACCTGTTTATGTTTTTGACTACTTTTGTACACAGAGATCATTGCCTGAGATAAAACAGGGCAATAAAAAACGTATTCAAGTAACTGATCAGTCTAATCTCCTAACAAACTTGTCCTTTTCCTGAATCTCACAAAACAGAATTTTCTAAAATTCAAATACACATCTTTTCAACAAACTGCAATTGTCTAATGGGCATAAGTTATTTAAAGGTTATTGGTATTAACTCTGAGAAACTATGGATAGTCTTTTCACTTATTTTCACCCTAATAGTGTGTGTGAGTCTGGGAAAACAAGCTGAGTTGAGTGAGTGAACTCCTTTTAGAAAGCTATTGAACTTGAGGACGGTGATTTATGTGTCTCACCTTGATGGTTCATTGGCAGTTTGGGGTTTTCACCTCCCTCCCCCATCTCTTTGAGGAAATCAGAACCCGTCTCTCTGGCTGACTCATTCTATGCCTCCCTCGCTCCCTCCGTTCATTAGACATCTCAGTAACATGGGAATGAAGTGTCTTGACCGGCACCTCTGAAAGGTGGTATTTTTTATTATTAAAAAAATGAGTTTGTTTGTGTCTGCATGAATTTATTTTTAGTCTACTCTCTGTGCAGCATAATGTCTGTTAAAGTTATTGTATGCTGGGAAGCTTTGCTGGATTTCAGTCACTACTACTACTTTTATAAATACACACAAACTATGTCTGCTGCAGAATCTAGTTCTCTATTTTGGGCATGTGGGTCACAATGAAATGAAGCAGCACTGGACACCTTAATGAGGACTGAGGAAAGTTGCATTCTTTGTTCACATGGCTTCTGTTTCAGCTTCAAGCATGTACTATGACAAAATGTAGAAACCTCAATTGCCTGCTCAGCACAAGGAAGTAGAAAATGAATTTGATAATAATAAAGTTATCTTTGATAAGATAACGTTCTTGTTGATCCAGTGCTTCAAATTGTTTCTCTCATCTGCAACACTTGAACAAAATCTAATTTAAAGGTTTTAAATGAACTCAGGAACATGTTTGTGTGGACGTGACATGACTTTGATCAGGGAAAAGAAGCTGAACTGAACAGTTTTTAATTCATAACACTTTATTTGCCCCCTCAAGGGGCAGTTTGAGGTAATTGTGTAGGTTTTTGGATCACTGGAATTTGCTGTTGTATATTGTAGGGCTTCATTATAATGCTGTTTTGTCACACATTTACCTTTATCAAAAAAATTGTAGCTTCTGTGATTTGGATATTGCACCTAACCATATTGCAATTGTAGATAATATTTCGATTAACTGTGCAGCCCTAGTATATTGTTTATATATATTTCAGCTACATTTCTCCGAATCTTAAAGCATCATTTGTAACTAATAATGTAATTTCGGTGCCATAGTAAAAAACACATTTTAGGTGAGTTAAAATGTTTCTGAATTCATTGGAGTACAGATGCTAAAAGAAGAAAGGCTCCAGTGTTTTGTGGGTTACTATTCAGGACCTTGGTTTGGTACAGTTCATCCTCCTACCAAGGAGCCTGGTTTATTTCAATCTGGGTGGTATTTAATGTATTAATAGTGCTCATCTGGTGTATGTCTATAGATGATTTTAGTTGTTTGAATGTCCATTCTGCCAGGTGAAGACATGTCGTCAGATAACCTGCCTGACCTCCTCAGCCAATTTTAGCCTTTTCCTCATGCCTCCTCTGGTTATAAATTAGCCCGCTTGTTTGCAAGCAGTGAAAGGAAAAGCTCACTTAGTAGAAGTGATTTATTAGTTGTTAGCCTGCTGTTGCCATATGAATGACAGAGGTGCCATTCAGGATGAAAACGGAAACTCAGAAAGCAGGCAGGATCTGACTGCCTCAGGAAATAGGAGGTGGTTTCCTTTTCTGCCACTCAACTAAAGAGAATTTGCATGATTTACCTTTTAGTATTTCTTCCAAGTAAATCTTTAGTCGTTCAGAGAGCATGTTAATAGTTCCACATAATATTTACCATTATTTTAATGGGATATACATCCGTACCACTCCCTACTCCACATGAGTTGTTAACAGTTAACATGCTGTGAAGGCCTACAGGGTCAAATTTAAGCACTTTTGTGTTGGTTCATAAACAGATACATTTAACACAACCTCTGTTATGTACTTGCAATTGGCAGTCCATTTGCGGTTGCCCCCCAACAAAACCTGTTTTTTTTCCACAGTTGCTCGCCTTGTGGCTCTTTTTTTTCAAGACACTGCTTTGTATCTGGTTCACTCTCTGACTTTTGCATGCAAAATCAAACCACTGAGAGAAACCAGGCTATGTGGTGTCTGTTGTACATGTTGAGAGTCATTTGAAAGATCGATGAGTAATCCATCTCTGTAAATCGAGTTGTGCTTACTCCGATTACGACCTTAATGCAAGTAAGATAACTTTGTTAAGATGTTTGTACGACAGTTGCAATAATCTCAGTATTGCCTTACTCGGGTTGTGATCAAATTACTAAAGTGCATGTAAAAGCAATGAGTGACAACCCTGTTTGCCTCTCCTGTTCTGTCCACAACACTTTATGTCACACACGTAAGAATTCAGGCAGAAAACCCCAGTTTTTACCTCTTGAACAAGAAATATTTTGAGGAGCAAACCTTAGTGGTCCACCACTAAATTCTATTTGGGAGGTTATTTCTGCAGTGAATTTGAAGAAAATGTGTTAATTATACACCTCAGTTTCTCTCTGACAGTAGACCAATGGCAGGCACAAGTTGCACTCTTGATACTGGACGAAGGAATATGCCTCTAGAGTTTTGCTGACTAATGTGGGCACACAGTGTGTGACTGCAAATCCATGCTGTTCCAAGAAGCAATATGATGACATGATGTGAGTAGTTATGAGAATAACTGCTTCAACAATGCAGCTGTTCATGACCCTGGAGGCCAAGAAAACAGGAGACTGTTCGACTGGCTACATCTTGTCCCAACACCCTTGTCAGCCCTTGTTGAGACAGACAGGGACAGAGAATGACGTGCACAATCATTATGTCCTTAGAAAGACCTCCTCAGGTTGTTGATCAAGCTTGGATAGTTGCTTCTTGATTATCCTTACAATATCCTGCACAAAGCTGTGTTCCCAACATGCTCCTCTATATGATTATCCTCAAGCAGCAGGTCCTTCCAAACTTTATTGAAATGGATGGCCAATTGTGTCCTTCATGATGTAGGAGTGTGTCGAAGTGTTGAAGGAGATGCTGTGCATGCAACCGTTAGTGTCACCGTTTATCAACATGATGAGCCATTACAGGCTGGGTTTATTCTGCTCAAAGCTTGAATTATCTTCTCTGGTCTAGTTGACAGTAGCTACGTGAAAGGCCACGCATCAGTTCTTAAAAGATCATATCATCATGTTTCTTGAGAGGGTTTCCTTCCTGGCAAGCTTTGCCAAACATTAACTAACAAACTATGTCCTATCTTCTCTGTGGTTAATTAAGTGGGGAAATGGTTGGGCTGTCTTTTCTGGATTCCTTGTTTTTCCTAAAATACTGTGCAAGAAATAGTGAGTTTGAAAGTAGTTTTTATCACCTATTGCTGAAACAATTATTTGATAAATTATCAACTGTTAAATTAATTGCCAACTATTTTGATAATCTATTTATTGTTAAGAAATTCTCTGATTTCAGCTTCTCAAATGTGAATATTTTCTAGTTTCTTTAGTCCTCTATGACTGAACTAAACTGAATATCTTTGGGTTGTGGATGAAACGGCATTCAGGAAATAAATTGGGCTTTGGGGATGATCGCCATTGATCGCCATTTTATGGAACAAACAACTAATTGAATTGAAATTGAGCAACAGATTAATCGATAATGAAAGAAGTCGTTA